TCGACGAAGGATGCACAAAAGAGAAGAGATTGTATGTGTTAGACTCAAAATTAAAATTTTGGCACTTCTCTCGCACGGGAGGTTTCCAACCTGCAAGAAACAACGGTACGAAGGCCGACAATCACAACAGCACGAAGGACGACAATCCCAACGGCACGAAAGACAAAAATTACAACGGCACGAAGGCCGACAATCCCAACGGCATGAACGCATTAAACTTTCATACTCATAGGAGTGAAGTGTCAGACCGGAGCTGGAGCTGGCAACTGCACTTGGACACCCCATGCTTACCTGATGGTTTGCATGACCTGATACATGTCCGCCATCTCGCTTCTTCGTGGCCTCCACCTCTGCGATCGTGCGCTTATGCCTCCCTTATCTCTCCCGCAAATTGGCTGCAGCGATGTTTTCAATCACATGTTTCAAAGATTGCAAATCTGATCAATGTGTAAACGCTCAATGTACGACGAGTGAAACCGAATTACACTCAAGTTCGTCGACCAGCGACAGGTGTTGGAGTAGGCCGTGCACGTATGGGAAGGCTTCTAGCCATGCTCCGTGCTCTCACGTCGGAGAGAGAGGGTGCAGAGCTCGAGGAGTCAGCACCGTCTCGCAATCCACAACCGCCTGCTTTCCCGCCTTGCCCCAGCCTCACGATCACCTCTATCTCAAGGGGCTCGATTAACTCGACAGTGATCTGAGCCACGGAGCGCCCTAACCGCCTCTGCGTAGTCTCTGACCTTAGCGTGGACGCTCGGGTCAGAGTAAGCCTGGGCAGGGCATCCGGGTTGAAGACGACACCGGATTTCACCGGGCCTATGTGGGACACAGCCCATGCCCCAAACTCTGACATCGGCACGTCCGGGTGTGCCACCTCTTGCGAGAAAGACGGCAAGATGATAAGAAATCAGGCAAAATTGCATCTACGCGGTGTCCCTACTCTCTAATAGGTGAGGATAGGTCATAATCCCACCCGTGGATCCGTAGATGAGGTTAGTTTCCATGCTCCGCTCCTATCCGAGACGGAATTTCAGCAGCACCTCCCTGCTGTTCTCCTGATACACGTCCTGCAAGGGAGAGTGTGTATCCGGAGAACAACAAGGGGTGATGCCGAAACACCGTCTCGTACCGGAGCGGACCATGGAAACTAACCCATCTAGGCATCCGCGGGCTGTCCAAAAAACGTGAACAATCCAAAATAGAAACGCTCGCAGATATGCAAAGACCTGCATAACTCCGACCATATCTCTTTTGGACGGGAGACGCCTAACTAGGATCAGTGACCTAAGACCATGATACGGATAGAGGGGTTATACCTAGGGTGTCGGTGAGGTCAGGCTAGCGGGGCTGTGGCGAGTCGGGGGCTATGGCGAGTCGGTGCGGTGGCGCCGCGACGTGGTGCAGGCAGACCCGCAACGTTGACGAAGACAATCGGGGTCCCCGAGGTCCCTCTGCCGGGGCCTCCTCCTGCATAAAAAGGCAATACATTAGTGACAATTGAAAATTTCGGCAGAACCTCCCCTGCACGGGGAGGTTTCAAAAATCTACAAAAAATATCGGCACGAAGGCCAACATCCACAAACAACGGCTCGATGGCCGAAAACCACATACAACAACTATTACTACTAACAAGGGCTCGATGGCCGACATCCATTGCATGATTTGAATAGAAAGGGAAGGGCGAACCTAGTGTGCTCGTCGACGGTGGGCGGAGTCGGGAGCGGGGCGCCGAGGGCACGGCACCGCCGCTAACGAGGCGTGGACAGCGGTCGGGGCTCCTCCTCCCTTCTCCTCTCCACCTCCCTTCTCCTTCTTCCTCCTCCCTTCTCCTCTCCTCCCTCCCTTCTTCCTTCTTCCTTCTTCCTCCTCCCTTATCCCTTCTTCCTCCTCTTCTCCCCTTCCCTTCTCTCCCTCCTCCCCTGCTCCTCCTACCTCCCCTGCTCCTACGGGCGGCGCAGAGATGTCTGTGTTTTTGGCATCCGACATCACAACTTGCTCGAAACCTTCTCAATTTTTTACCACAGCCTCCACATGCGATAACACGACGCCTCGACAAGTTTCGTGATTTTCGGACTTCGTTTGCATTTTATATAATTTAAAATCACATTTCTGGCAAGTACCTCGACATGTTACGTCAACGAGATGCTCGAGATTTCATGTGAGTTCCTGCATACGGCCTAAACATACCCTAAATATCATGAGTGTCAATTTTTGGATGACCAAAGTCTATTATTCCATGTACCTGCAGTTCAAATTTGAAATATCCCAAAAAATTCGACGAAATGAAATAAACTAATGAAATATATCAAAAGAAGTCAAAATTGCCCCAAATTTTAAAATAGAGTTTGAAATACTGTCACAAGGCCCTAGAAAAAAATTTGGGCCCAAAATCAAAAAAAAATATTTTGCCGAGTGCCAGCCCAAGAGGCACTCGGCCAAATATGATTTTCAAAAATAAAAAAAATTGCCGAGTGCCTAGCGCTGGCACTCGGCAAAATAAGTTTTAAAAAATAAAAAAAACAAATTTACCGAGTGCCCAAGGCTTACACTCGGCAAAATATGTTTTTAAAAAATAAAAAAAAATTTGCCGAGTGCCTAGGTCTAGTTCTCGGCAAAATAAGTTTTAAAAAATAAAAAAAATTGCCGAGTGCCTATCTCTGGCACTTGGCAAAAAAAATTTAAAAAAAAAAAATTGCCGAGTGCCATGGGCTGGCACTCGGCAAAATATGTTTTTAAAAAAGAAAAAAATTTGCCGAGTGCCTGGGGTTGACAGTCGGCAAAATAAGTTTTTTAAAAATAAAAAAAAATTTGCCGAGTGCCAACCGTTAGGCACTCGGCAAAATCTGACGGCAGGTGGCCGCCGTCACGGGCCGGCCACCTTTTGCCGAGTGGGATCTTTGCCGAGTGCCGCGGCAAAGCGCAGTTTTGCCGAGAGCCAGGCTTTATCGAGTGCCTGGCACTCGGCAAAGCCATCTTTGCCGAGTGCTTTATTTTGCCGAGTGCGGCACTCGGCAAAGTCCAGTTTTCCAGTGGTGACACTGCCTTATAGTTATAGTTACACCATCTTATTGCTATATTTATAAAAATTTCTTAGTATAATTTATTAGATAGAGTGATGTAATTTGGGAATAACACAAATATATGGTAGATTTTTCAAAAAAATTATAAATTATTTCTATGGATTCCAGACATCAGAGAAATATATATCAAATTCTTTAGAAATTTTAGAAAAAATTACAAATTGTGTTGACACGACTGACCGGGTCCGTTCCACCTAACGTGTTTGTGCTCCCTCTCTCCACCAGCACCTTGATCCGCACGACCCGCTCGCCCGCACACGTCGCTCCTGCTCAGCCTCGGCCGCTCCCTGTGTGACCAGCGGCCACCGCTCGCCCGCACATGCGCCGCTCAGCCCCTGGCCTCGGATGTGCATGCGTCAGATGGCAGATCAACGGCCTGAAAACCGTTTGCCAGGAGCCAGCAAAACAACCGGTTACTCAATAGCAAATCTGTAAAGTAAACAGGATATATAGCGCGTCTGTGTGCACTACAAACAGCATTTTTCCCTGTAGCTGATTGTCGTTTGCTCGAAGAATCCAACTTACTCAAAACACCGGCCGGTTAGCTAACATTTGAAATCCAAACCTAAAAAAAAAATTGGAAGGCTAGCGTGCGTGCATCATTGTAAATTTAAAATCAACGTAAAAAAAATTGTAAGTTTAAAAAGGTTTCCATTTGGATGGTAATGTGCACAGAAAAAAAGGAATGAAATAATACAAAGCTTCAACGACGTCCTTGTTGTAGTAGTATGTAATATGGTCTTGTTTAGATTCAACATGTAAAGTTTTTAGGTGTCACATCGGATGTTACATGAGGTGTTGTATGGGGTGTTCGGATACTAATAAAAAAATAAATTACAGAATCCGTCAGTAAACCACAAGACGAATTTATTAAGCCTAATTAATCTGTCATTAACACATGTGTGTACTGTAACACTTTATTGTCAAATTATGGATTAATTAGGCTTAAAAGTTTCGTCTCGCCAATTAATCGTAAACTGTGCAATTAGTCATTTTTTAGTCTATATTTAATATTCAATACATGTATCCAAACATTCATGTGATAGGGTGTAAAGTTTTGAGGTGGAAACTAAACAAAGGCTAAATATAAAAGAGTGAAAAAGGTTTTAGAAGAATGTGTAGTGTAGCTAGCCGAAGCTGGGAACAGTACAGGGCTCATCATCATAGTTATTCTCGTCCGACAAGCGCTCTGGATTACACTGATGACATGGTACACACCGGCCACCACACTGGCCGACTGTTGTTGTTTTTTTTTTTTTTGCCTAATAAGTCTGACCGATGCTAGTTCGTTGTAAGAGAAAAATATTATATCATAACTGATAAAGCCTCACTGAAATCAACCAGCGAACGGGACGCTAGCCACGTCTGGGACGACGCTCTCGAATGATACCACCACCCAGGCCGCCGGCGACTCAGAAACCGCCCGGGAGCCATGGGACAGCCGGCACTGCTCACCCATACGCTGCCGGCCGTACGCGCGTGATCCCATGAATCCCCCCAACCTACGCCGCGTACGTACCCACGTCCGTCCCCGACGCCTCTACGCCGAGGATCGAAGCGAGAGAGAGAGAGACGCGGAAGGAACGGAATTGTGTTCTGGGCGGGGGGCCACCACGTGAATGGCCGCCGGCCCCCACCCTCCACGCGCCTCCGCCTATCGCCATCACGCCTCCGTCCCGGCCCCTTCACTTCACTCGACTCCCTCGTATAGCAGGCCAGCAGGCGGCAGCAGCAGCGTCGTTCAGTTCACCTCCCTTTCTCCACTCCACTCCCCCCGCCCCACATCCCATCGCGACCCAACCCCGCGACCGCCCCGGGCGGTGCGCGTCTCCACTGATCCGCACGATCGCGCGCTAGCTCGCCCGCGCCCCGGCCCCGGCCGGCCGGGTGAGCAGCAGACCAGCAGCTGCGTCGGCGTGCATGGATTCCTCGGGGCCAGCCGCCGGGCCGTCGTCCTCGGAGGCGAGGGGCGGCGACGACGACGCGCACGCGCCGCAGCTGCAGGTCCGGCCGCTGGCTCAGGCGCAGCCGCAGCCGCAGGCCGCTGCCCCGCCGCAGCAGCAGCTCAGCAGGTACGAGTCGCAGAAGCGGCGGGACTGGAACACGTTCCTGCAGTACCTGCGGAACCACCAGCCGCCGCTCACGCTGGCGCGGTGCAGCGGCGCACACGTCATCGAGTTCCTCAAGTACCTGGACCAGTTCGGCAAGACCAAGGTGCACGCCGCCGGGTGCGCCTACTTCGGCCAGCCTAACCCGCCGGCGCCGTGCCCGTGCCCGCTGCGCCAGGCCTGGGGCTCCCTCGACGCGCTCATCGGCCGCCTGCGCGCCGCGTACGAGGAGAGCGGCCACGCGCCGGAGTCCAACCCCTTCGCGGCGCGCGCCGTGCGGATCTACCTCCGCGACGTCCGCGACGCGCAGGCCAAGGCAAGGGGCATACCCTACGAGAAGAAGAGCCGCAAGCGCAAGCAGCCGGCGGCCTCAGGGGAGGCGTCGTCGTCTTCGGCCGCGGCAGCAGCAGCACGGGAGGCTGCTGCCGCCGGGAGCGCCGGTGACGGGTCCAGTGGCAGCGCGGCGGCGGCGAAAGCTGCACCGACCACCGGCCAGGGAAGCGCCACTACTGCTACTGCTGCTGCACCGACCAGCACATCCCGAGTATAGTAGAATCACTTTTGCAAACCATGTCTATTTACTTCTGTACGTCTCGCTATACCTCGAGCTTTAATTTGCAACATTTGAGCTATATTTCTTCTGTCATTTGGTTTAGCTATATTTCTTCTGTCATTTGGTTTCAGAATCGTTCTTGCTCTTTACAAACCGCCTCTCTCCTCTTGCCTTTTTTTTCCCTTTTCTTTGCTGGATTTCTTCCTGCTCTCTACTTGAGCCATTTTATTTCACTTTGCTGAATTAGCCGGCTACTATAGGTCAGTCACAGTCAGTTATAATAATACATGGCAATTGGCTTGTAGTATCCAGGACCAGGATCGGAGGAAGTGAATTAATATATATAGGTCTTGTACTCTTGTTTTGCTTGCCCATGTCTCTCTCATGCATACCCATGGTGACATAAAAGAGCAAGATTTATTTGAGGCTAATTGCATACTAGCTTGAGATCTTCATGTATATGTTTGAGCACAGGATTTATATATCCATCCATCTAGCTTGTTTGACCGACTACTATTTCTCTATAGTTCTTGCTACATACGGAACAGATCGATAGTTACATAAATAAATAAACATGCATGCAGTGTTGAGATGCAGTACAAAGTACTCACCCCATGCATCCTACTTAACTCTGCTGTTGTGCTTATACTGTGCAAATTTAAGGCTTGCATCAATGATGTGTGCCCTCAGTTGCAAAGCTTTAGGTAGCAACACTGCTGAATCCACATCCATCCACACTGCCAGCAATTAATTCTATCCCAAAAATATCCAAGTCCTCTCGTTAGCTAGCCTGCATCTGCATGCATTTCTACCTAAACACATGCTCATCAGCTCACTTGACAGTAGCTAGAGTCAGTAGGATAAGGCGGTTGGTTGGCGTTGATGATGGAGTCGCCATGGCCAGAAGCCCAGAAGTACGGGTCGGAGCTTGCTGCTGCCAAGTGGCGGCCATGCACGCAGGGGTCGATCAGTTCTCAGCACGCTGGGGTGGTGGACCGTGGGGCGTGTGTGTCCTCCTGGCTGCTGGCGCCTGGCGGCGGCGTTGTACGTGAGCGGAGGAGTGGTCTTAAATAAAACAGCGCGAGCTCGGATGGATCGGAGGCAGAAGATCTGCGAGGCACTGCTGGTCCCCCGCCCGATTGGACTTCATGCTGCTGGCTGCCGAGTCAGTTGCATGCTTCTCCTCCGTTATTAAATTTTGAGATGAGCACGTAAAGACATTTACAACTGACGAGGTAGACAAGAAGAAAACCTACAGATCCGAGCATTAAGAATTCAAGATGCATATGCATCTTCTCTCTCTGTCCCTCTCTCTTAGGCCGATCGCATTCCCGATCTATCTCATTCCTGCAGCCCTTTTCCGCTTGCCGTTCTCAGCTCCACTATTATTCCCCTCCCCGGTCTGGTGCAGCCATGTTTCTTTTTCGAGGAAGAAAGAGATCGAGTGACGGAGCCGAGAGAGGAAAGAAGAAGAACAGTAGCTGGCCTTTTTTCCCCTCCCTGACTGACTCCCCTGTGACTTTCTCACGCGCGCGACGGGACGCGCGCGCGGTGGGCCAAGCCAGCAGCAGCGCCGGCCCCCACGCTATGCTAGCCCTGCCTGGTGCCTGATGCGAGGAAAAGGAGGCTAATGAATCGCTCCCCTTGTCTTTTGCATGCACGCATGGCCCTACCTCTCATCAGCAGCCGCCGTCGGCCGGCCTCTCTGATCAGCTAGCTCCGGCTCGATCGCCACTGTGGCTGAGCACTGTGCTTGCACTTCGCCTCGGCCCTTTTTTTCACGAAACATCTCGCTTCACGTCTTTGTCTAGTTTATATCCTAAAGTTTACTCCACGTCCGGTCCGATCGAACGTTTGATACATGTATATAGTATTAAATATAAATTAAAAAAATAACTAATTATATAGTTTACGATTAATTTATGAGACGAATCTTTTAAGTCTAATTAGTCCATAATTTAATAATATGATGCTACAGTATACACATGTGCTAATAATGTATTAATTAAGCTTAATAAATTCGTCCCGCGAATTAGTGACGAATTCTACGGAACATCCTATACAACACTCCAATATGACCCTAAAAATTTTACTCCTTGGATTTAAACATGGACTCAATTTGGACCCACCGTGCAAGCTTGCCTGCTACTATATGTTCACAGAAACCCGTGTCATTGCTTTCAATTCTCTCGCATGCCGAGTCTTGTCCGGAATCAATGCGTGGTAGACCACACTTGTTGGCCTGTGCGTGTTGATCCATCGATCGGAAGCTCGACAGAGAGTTTTAAATCTTGGCTGTGCCTGTTATTATTCACCCAATAATTAAAAGTGTAAGCAGCTAGCTATAGGTATATATAGCTAGATATATAAGGAGTGACAACAAGGTTAGTTTGCTTGTGCTTTTGTTTCCTCTGATTTGATCCGGGCTGTACGTGGATGCAACGTTCGACTGAATATTAATATGGGTCTGTTCGCTTATGCTGAAACATGACTTATACTAATATTTATATTGAAATATTGCGAGAGAAAAACGCTCAACCTATCAGCTTCTTTTTGTTACTACTATACGGCACAGTGGAGTGTACGGACGCTAGCTAGAGCCTAGCTATAGGGACTGATGAGGGAGGAATTGTTCTCGGAGGCAGTGACGACAGGCATCATTGGATTCTCGATCTGTGATGATTGGGGCCGTGACATAAAAATTTGCGCCCGTACAATTCGCTGCGCATATATAGGGCTAACGTACAAGCCACCCCTTGCTCGCAGCTCGTCGCTTTATCTGTTCTTTCCTGTCCTTCCTATCTTTGTATTGTATATTTTTTCTTATAAAATGATTACTGCTATTAGCAAACTAATTATTAGCTAGTGAAGTACGTACTCCTAGCTAGTCGAATTCATTAATGGTTGCTTGTTTAGTGAAGCAACATATATATATATATATATATATATATATATATATATATATATATATATATATTCTGTGGCCACTTTAAGTTACGATAGTTACTATACTAATTTACGAGATTATGGTAACTCCCCTATAAGTGATTTACTATAACATTATGGTAAGTATCATCTTAAATTATAGTAACCCATGTATCGTAAATATGTATTGTTATATTATCGTAAATTGGTACAAACATTATCGTAAATCAAGGTGGCCATAGAATAAGTTATTTTGTAGCCAGCTGTAGAATAGCCTTACCGTATATATACACATATATATATATATTTTTTTTATAGACGCGATTACATTATTTATTTATATATATAGTGCAATCTAATCTGCAATGTCGACCGACGGTGCAGTGCTGCCTCTTTTACTGGTGATTGAATCAGCATAGTATACGCTATTAGCTAGCCTGTCGTGGTTGCTGACTATATATATATATATATATATATATATATATATATATATATATATATATATATATATATATATATATATATATATATATATATATATATATATATATATATATATATATATATATATATATATGGAGAGTATATTCAGTAGCCAGCTACAAAATAAGTTATTCCGTAGCCACCTCTATTTACGATAATGTTATATACTAATTTACGATAATGTCAATACATATTTACGATAGTTGGGTTATTATAACACATATAGATATTTACCATAATGGTACAGTAAACCACTTAGTATGAAGTTACTATAATCTAGTAAATTAATATAGTAATTATCATAACTCAAAGTAGCTATAAAATAAGTTATTTTGTAGCCAGCTAAAGGGTAGTAGTTATATATATATATATATATATATATATATATATATATATATATATATATGTGTGTGTGTGTGTGTGTGTGTGTGTAAGAAATTAGCATGTATTCAAGGGAGATACAAAATTAAGTTTTATTCTAATCCACCAAAAATTACACAACCAATAAGACCAGCATGCCATGATATATATATCACAAAGGGGTCATACAAATTTCCTACTACATGGACTTCAGATTCATGGCAAAATTATGAAGAGTTGTTCACAAAAGACACGGACCATGATAATTGGAGAATTTTTAGTGAAGCAAAAGAATTAGAAGGAAATACAAAATTTGCTCTTGAATATTATATGATGTACCAAAATAAAATAATAAAAGTATTCTTACGAGAATACTATGGAAGATATAGTATAGTACAAAGAGAAGTTGGAAGACTAATAAAGCCTAGTTATGACAAAGAATGTCAATTACGAAAAGAATATCGTGAATTGTTGTCCTGGTATGAAATATGGCAACATGAAGAACTGGACAACGAGGAAAATATTGAGGAGTAATAAGAAGAGTTAATCCAGACTCAGTTCAATATTAATATATATATATTCTAGACAAAAAATATACTCCCTATGTTGATAAGGTGTTATCAATAATTCGGCCGGAAGAAGATAATACTACATACCAGAATCCTTGGATTGGGCGTGGAAGACCATACCAAAGAATATCCAGAAGGATAAGACCAAGTGCTTCAAAGGACAACGCAAAAGGAATATACAGTCACTCTACTGTAGCAAGGACAATTATTGAAGCACGCAGTTCCGTCCAGCTATCAAAGCAACAGTAAAGGAGAATAATTGAAGACACCATAAGACTTAAGCACGAAGTAACTCCAGAAGATAAGCATGAAGGACAATCTAGAAGGCTCCCTTCACGCTATAAAGAGAGACACCGGGCGCATTCATGCAGCATCGAATCGAAGACCACCAGCACCATCACTAGGAACTCATCTAGTGAAGACTCCACTCCACTTTCCCACATACACCATGAATAGCATGACATCAGAAGAACTCTAAGAATCATCCACCATGAATAGTAATACTCCACTATCGTTATATTACTCCACCACTATCTGTAAATTAGAATAAAGGAAGTCCCCATGATCTTCCTGCACTTATAAGGTAATCTCTAAGATTTGTGCTAAGTGCTTGGGATTTCCCGAAAGGGAAAGCCGTATGTAAGCTTGCTCTGTGGAAAT